TTACAATTCCCACATATCTGGAATGAAAGTGACATGCCACCACACCCAGCTTTTACTGGTGGAGATGGGGGTCTCTCAAACTTTTTACCCAGGCTGACCTTAAACCTCAGTCCTCCAGCTCTCCATTTCCCAAGTAATAGCTAGGATTACAGGCATGAGCCACCAGGCCTGGGCTTAAGTGTTTTTTAATTTTAGTTATTTTTAAGTTTATAAGAGATACCAGGCTGCACTTTTACTTAGTATTGTATTACCAAGAGTCACCCATACTTTTGCATGTCATTGCTATTCATTTGTTTGGGCTGACTACAATTTTCCACTGTGTGAATTGATCACATGTATTCATCTGCCCTCCCAGTGACAGGCAGTTGGGCTCCTTCCACGCTTGTAAGTATCATGAACAGAGTACATACATCTCCTGTTGGATGTGAGTTTCTCGTGGGCACATCTACCTAGGAGTGGAATTGCTATGTCATAAGAAATGTGAATATTCAACTTCAGGAGACAATGAGATGATATCAAATCTTTGCCATTTTGATTTATTTTCTAGAGATTCTAAGACAATTGTTTCCTCTTTCTAGTCTCCCCAATTATGGTTTGTTTGTTTTTTAATTTCATATCAGATCTACCAAAAAACATGCAAATCAGGTTCTTGGCTTAACACCTGAGCAGCATCTCAGATGAACCCCCCAACTCCCAATGTAGAAAGGAAGAGTTCTTGTCAGGAACACAGGTAATCAGAAGAGCATCTAAGCAGAACAAAGGTCTGCCTGGTCCAGACAATGGGGCAGGTTTGTCCAAGGGAAAGGAATGGTCTAGAAGCTGTTCATTTTTTGGCTAATACAAGATACAAAAAGGGACTGGGGTGGAGTTAAAGCCAGTTTTCTTATTCAAGATGACTTGCTCAGTGCCTCCTTCTCCAACTTCTCATAACTACCTCACACATATTTATTTTTAAATAAAGAACAGAAGTCTAAAAATGGAAATCCCAGTTTGTAAGCAACCAATTCCAGATATAACAAGAGTGGGGGCAGGAAGTTGGATATCACTATAGAATCCAATTCATTTTAGTACATGTTGGCGGAATGCTTTACCAAGTGGCAAGCACACTGGTGAATAAAATTCTGCACTTAAGGGGTTTACAAGTTTGCTCACTTCCAAGACAAAATCATGCCTTAAGTGCCAAGGGGTGATTTATTGCTGAGAAAGTGAAGATGCTGGCAAGACGTTGAAATGCTCGCTATAAAAGATGAGTAGAAGTTAGAACTCAAGAAGACCAAAGGTTGGGTGCAATAGTGCACACCTGCAATCCAAGCCACTCAGGAGGTAGAGGTAGGAGGATCATGGTCCTCCAGGGCAAAAGTTCGAGACCTTATCTGAAAAACAAACTAGAAAGCAAAAGGACTGGGGTGTGGCTCAAAAGATAGAGTTAGCAAGCCCAAAATCCAGTTTAGTTCCTAATATGGCCAAAGAGAGAGAGATAGACACAGAGAGAAGCAGATGCAGAAATCACTGAAAGATAAGAGTATGAGAGTGATCAATTCTAACCGAGTTAAGAACTGAAGAAAAGTTCATGGAGAGTGATGTGGAGCTGTATTTGATGACTGAATCAAATAACTGAAAAGACAGATATTGATGAAGAATATACCTGAAACAATTCAGACCGTTTGACCTTCCCATTTTCTCCTATTTCTCAGACTTCTTAAGTCTACCTCTTGCTTCTGTCATTGTAAAGCACCAAAAAGAGAGGAGCCCTTGGGTCACTGTTAAACATGCCTTATCTGCATTTATTTTTTCATACCACAAACACCAACAAAGTAACTCTCTCCCAGGTGCATGGCCTTGTGCTGAACTCTGGGCATGCATGGATGGACAAGATGGGCTCAGTCCCAATCTTCACTCCACTCCCTGTCTTCAAGGGCAGACAGAGGATTAAACAATGCCAGACAGTTGACTTGGCCTGACCATCAGCCAAATTCTATCAGCTTGGGAGAGCCCCTCCCCCTTCCCTTCCTCCCCTGAAACATTTTCAGTAAATTGTGCAGGATTAAAGAAATGGCTCTCTGCTCTGTAATTAAAAGAATCCTACCAGCATCCCAGGTAGCCAAGCTGCTTCTGAGAACTGACAGACCCAAAAATCAGGTGCTTCCTACATAATAGCTTCCAATCTGATACTTGATAGCTGTTGGTTTCCAGAGTCAAACTAATGTCAGGAAGACAGGAAGCAAATAAGGGGGCAAGGATTGGGGTCTAGGCCTCAAGGGAGCTCAATTAGTGAACCAGATAATGTTAAACCCAAAGGGCATGTTCTCGATTTCCTAGAAAGCAGCTGGAAAAAATGCCAATCCTTAAGCTTCTGTCACTCAAAAGATTAACAGAAGAGACCTAGGGGTGCCCAAAAGGAATTCTGCAACAAGCCAGATGTTTCTACTCTTCCTATGACATCTCTGCAGTCAACCAGAGCCACACTTCTGGGGCCACCAAGAAGTGGTACAAGGGAGCTGGGAGTCTTTTGATAGGCTGGAATTCAAACATCACTCTTTATCAATATAGGCACCAAAAGATATTGTTAACAAACTTTCTCTGCAGGCTCGCCTAATGCATCCAGATTCAGCATTTTCTCATTGAGCCATCACTCCCTTTAACAAGAATGGTGCTCCTTGTTGGATGAACATTCCCTACGCTGCACACAACCTCGAAATCCACATAAACTGGGATCTGCCTCCCAGAGCTACATATACTATGAGTGATTCAAGCAAAGTGGTGAGCCCCTGAGTCTTACTTCCCCACCTGTAACTGGCACTAAAAAGATTTACCTTCTTATTCTTGTTCCTATAAGCAGAAGAGATCATGTAAAATGCTCAGCCCAAACATTCTTAAGCAGTATTCTTAATGTTGCCTGTAAGTGCAATCAGATAACCACATGCTTAAAACAGTGGCTTCCCCTTGGTACTTTCTAAACACACAATCACGTGTGTGTGTGTGTGTGTGTGTGTGTGTGTGTGTGTGTATTAGAGAGAAAGAAAAGTAAAAGAGAGTGAAGTAACTGGGACATACACAAGCCTATTTACAGTTCTATTTATGTTCCATTGCTTCTATCCAATTAATAACCTAAAGAAGTTGGAGGAAGCTGAATGTGGTGGTGCTCAGCTATAATCTCAGTACTCAGGAGGCTGAGGCAGGAGGATTGAGAGTTCAAGGCTAGCCTAGGCTACATAGTAAGATCTGTCTTTAAAAAAAAAATGAAGGAGGAGGAGTTGTTGGAGGGAAGCCTAACTGAAATCTTTGCTCCCCCTAAAGTCCCTAGCTTTCCCCCTAAAAGTTACTTCCTCTGATTTCAGGAGGCAGGGAAGAAAAGCCATATGGCTTGAGACGTTACACATGCCCAGCAGCAAAGAAGCCCCCCACCATTTGTCGGAGGGCCTCTCTCCTTTCGACCCTCCCGTGGGCGGGCATCCAGATTTCAGTCGGGGTGCTCTGGTCTGCATCTCTGTCTTGACTGTTCCTAATTATTGGAGGGAACACCATGGCTCACTTGCCTGACCTCGGAGTTTAAGAGCTTCAAGTCTTAATATCAAACCAAGCAGCTTCATTTAAAAGGCATCCTCATCTGCATCCATAAAAGTCACTCTCAGAGCCCTGACTTGCCCCAGCTTTGGGAATGCCTGCTCTCGAGGATTTATGACACGCCCTGGATCTAATCTGCCGCACTTTAACTGCTGCTGTTGCACATCTGGTCATAAAAGCAAGGGCCGGCCCAACACGGGGACAAACACTTTTCTTTCCTAAGTGGCTGCAAATCTGATCTCACAGTGATAGCTGGGCTCTGGGCAGCATCTGGGCATTCATTAAGGCTTGTTAGGTTTTGTGAAGTTTTCCTCCACACAGGACAACTATAAAGATGATTTTCATCCAGTAAAAGCTATGAAAAAAGAAGCTGCCATCTGAACAGGTGGTAATGGGGCTAACAATCCAGGAAATGGAGCTGAACGATATCCAGGAAAAGAAAGCACAATTCCAGCTACCTTCACTGGGCTCACACAAGGAGACAAGCAGCTATCATGAGAGCCCCTCCCCTGCCCTAAACAGATGCTTGGCCAGAGACTGCCTGGCTTACGTTTGGCCAACCGAACCACTAGGTGGTTTAACAGTACATTTCTTACGGCAGTGAAATTCTTTATTAGACCAACTGGAGGGGGTGGGGAGTGTAATAATCTAGACCAGAAATGAACACAATGCATCAGTTCCAGGAGATTTTACAATGCCCTGGACAGCCTGTCCTGTGCACAGAATTGGCACGTTGCATTTCGTTCAGAAACTCCAATCAGACCAAAGTTCAACAAGTACCCAACTCAGAGGAAGAAACCCTTGAATTCTGCGTGGCTCTTCGCCATTTCTCCCCCACCACTGCCCCTCTTCCAGGGCTGTACCGGCAGGAGGGAGCGTTAAAATTATCTGCTGTGGATTTTACGAGCAGTGACACTTTTTTAAAACAACAACACAAGGTCCTTGTGTGGCTCGCGGGTAACCTAAAACTCTTCAGGCAGAGCTGCTGTCCCTACCACCACCATCACCTCCACCACCACCACCCCCCGCGCCCTGGCCCCGCGCAGCGCCTTGCCGCCTGCCAAGAACGCCAGCGCGCGGGGCCGGGCGCAATGAGACCACGGGGAAGCCCTGCTTGAGCGGAAGGCAAGGTTCCCTGCGACACAGGAGGCGCCTCTAAGGGATCCTGGAGCCAGGGATTAGGAAAGAAAACCCACCAGTGACAGTTCGGGAAGGGTCAGGGAGTCCGGTGCTGCAAGCAAAAGGAGGAGCAGTGAAATTTTACTTCAGTATTAACTTCCCCAAGAACCCCACAGAGGACTGGACAGTGGAAGGGGGGAGAGGAGAGAGAGAGCAAGATCTGACACCTCCCTTTCCCCTCCTCCTACCCCTGGGATGAGCCGCAAAGCGACCTCGTCTCCTACCGCAGGTGGGCGCGCGACTGGGGACGCACTTACCCTGGGGCCCGTGGTGCGGTGGCCGCCAGCTGAGGACAGCTGCACCAACACGAGCAGCAAGTGGGGCGTGAGCAGGCGGACGCAGCGCGTACGCAGCATGGTGCCAAGCGGCCCGGGGAGCCTGCAGCGGGCAAGGGTCGCGGGCTGGGCTGCGCGCACACGGCGCCTGCCTTCCTTCGCTCAGGCGCCCTCGCAGCAGCGGGGAGCAGACAGCGAGCCTGAGGCTGGCGGAGGCTGCGATCGGAGGACACGGTCATGAACAACGGAGGCCAGGAGCTGGAGCGCGAGCGTGTGCTCTGAGCGCGGCACCCGCTGCGCTTGGCCCGGCCGCGGCGGCAGCAGGTTGGATACCGGAGCCCGGGCCATGGGAATCCCCGTTATAAACCCCCGAGAGGGGTGGGGCGGGGCCCGGCAGGCCTGACTGACGGGTCGGGAGGCCTGTAGCAGCCGACCCTCTGGCAGGTGAAAGCCAATGGGAGAGGGGCAAGAGGGGCGGCTCGTGGTCAACTCCCCCACACCACCACCACCACCACCACCATCACCACCACCGAGGAGGGAAACTCTGTGCTCTACGGTAGTAGGCTCCGGTAGTCACAAGGATAACTTTCTCTTGGCTATTCTGCCGGAGCAAGCCTAAGACAGCTCCAGCAGCCTCAAACCCATCAGAATGGTCACCTGGCTAATAAAGAAGCCTTTAGCAAGTATAGTTTTTAGCTCAAGTGCCAGAGTTGTCCCAACAGCGCCATGGAGGAGGCAGGGAAAATATTCTTAAAGCCCCAGTTTTCAGACGACAATACTATGACACAAATACGTTGAAAAAAATCTTTCCTCACTGCAACAACACCTGGGCACCAGGGAAGTCACTGGGTGGCGTGCAAAGGGTGGGCTGGGATCTACTTTGGAATAAGAAGTGGGAGCCTTCATTCTTTCAAAGAAGCTGCCTAGGGCTGGCGGACTGGCTTAAGTGGTAAAGCACCTGCCTAGCAAGCGTGAAAACCTGAGTTCAAACCCCAGTACCGGGGCGGGGGGGGGGGGGGAGGAGAGTCAGAAGCTTCCTAGGGATGACACCCAATGTACACCGTGGCTGCCCAGGACAAGTCTCAAGGGAACAAGGGGAAGCTATGCAGGCTGGGGAGAGCCCCTCCGGGATTGGAACCCAGGCATCCTAGCTCCTTGCTCTGAATTGGAGGGCCACAAGGCTGCCTTTCTGTGGCCTAGCAGCCCTGGGAGAGGGGAGTCAGAGGGGCCCTGGTCTCATAGACAAAGCATTGATAGGGAGGGAGTGCTCTGTGGGTGCAGAGACCCCAGTGACAATCCAAGGAGGGAGAGGAGCTCTCTCCAAGGGCCCAACCACTTGGAGATGACAGCTCAGCAAATGGGTCAGCCAGGTATTGTGGGCCTCTGCCCAGAGTAGTCTCAGAGGTCCAGCCTGGGAATGGTCACCACTGCATGACACCAGCTCCTCAACAGCACAAGGTGGTCTGTTGCCTTTGCTGCCAGAGGCCTGCGATTTGTCTTCTTATGTGGGACGCGGGTGTTTGTCCACCACTCCCTTCATGAGGCAGATTCTTTCCTCTGACCAGATTGTAAGCACAGCACTTACAGTCTTCCCTATCTGTCCGGAGAGGTTCTGACAAAGATTAGCTCTGCTTCTGGAGGGCCTTTCTCCTAGATTATATGAATGAATTTCTTTAAAATGCTGTTTGTCCCCTCCCACTGCTGTCACACATCTAAAAGGCAATTCTGAATGGGCCCATCCCTCTCTGATTAAAAGGCGTCTCCTCTTTTTTAATGTCCTTAGACAAAAAAAAAAAAGCCTATGCTGGGGGCTGGAACAAGAACAAAGTACTTGTGGGGCCCCAAACAAATAAAAACACCTGTAAAAGAACTATCATATTCTCCAGCTAGGAAGTGGCACAGCCATCAGGCAGACTCTGGAGCTGGACAGCTGTGGTTAAGTCCTAGGTCTGCCACCTAGTGGTATAACCTTGAATAAGACTTTACTTGTCTGGGATCCAGTTTTCTCCCTCTGTACAATGGGGGTAAAAACAACATCCCTGTCAAGTGTTGTTGCCAGGATTAAAGGAGATGGAGTATGCAATGGCTTAGAATTGTTAAGTTATAAATACCATCCTCTGGAATTTGAAGAGGAAAGTCCAATGCCTCTTCTCATTTACCCTCAGAATAATCTTGCAAAACAGATGGGACAGACATCCATCCCTACTTTACAGGTGGGTAAATGAGCACTCCATGAGACTGTGTGTGTCTTGCCTCACTTGGTTGGTAGATGACCCAGCCGAGTCTCTAGATCAGGTTTTCAGATTCTAAGTCTGCCTCCATCATACAGGGACTGCAATCTCTAGTCTCAAATGCCATAGTGTCTCAAATGTCAGTCGTTGCCTGGCTGCCCATTGGAAATTTCTTCGGCAGCCTACACAGTAACTAAAACTTGTGAGCTTCACTGAGCTCCAGGGGAAGAGGGTATAAACAGAAAGGCTCTGGCCTTCCTGGAAACAGCCCTTGTGATCTGGCATCCTGGGAATTTGCCCAGCTGGACTTATAACATCTGTCCAGTAGTACACTGCATGTGGCACTTACAGCAGTTTCTATGTGTCCAACCTGGGCCCATCATGATGGAAAAGTTACCATTGGGCTTAGCAGCCACGCAAGTTTTTTCTGACTCTACCACCTGGTCTCAAGCAGCCATCAAGCTGGTCACCTTCTTTCTGTTGTTGGAATTGCTGAGAAATCTGCAGGAGTAAGCAAATAGGTTTAAATGCCCCCACAGTATCTGGCAGCACAAAGACCCCAGGGAAAAAGAATTCTACGAGTCCTTTCCATCCCTAACACCAAATGCTGCTTTCCAGCCAGAGAACTTATTTCCAAGTGCTCATTGGTCCAAAAGTCTACATTATTCTGGACTCCAACCATGTCGCTTAGTTTAAAATATGAGCAACTGCTTTCCAGTTACTTCGCTCAGCAAGTATTTTCTTTCCCTCTGGCTGGCATGCAAGGCCTATCGTAACCATGGCCATCATTCAAATGATGCATTTTCTTCTCCCGACTCCTTCCAAGCCCAGAGAAGGTTATAAATTCCAGAGAACTCCTCGTCCCAAACAGCACCTCTCTGCCAGGCTCAATCTTCTGATCCAAGCAAAAAAGTGAAATTGACAAGTTTCTTCTTTCCCTGGAGGCCAGGTTTACGATCCAAAAATAAATCTAGCTGTCCTGGCAACTGGTCTGTCCAATTTGAGCCATACTCCTTGTCCTGTGGGACTTATGTTTGCAAGAGGATATTTCAAAAAGAAGAAAGAGAATACTTTATATCACACACTAAGGTCTGAGGGCCTGAAATATGTAGTACTAGTAATAAATGCCAGTTTCAAATGTATCTGTGTTTCTGTATAATCAGAGGAGTCTTGCCTTTTCTTGTATTCAGAATTACACTTTTCTACTCATTCTAACAAGCACTTTGAGGGCATTTCATTCTGTGCCTGGCACAATGCTCATTGCCAGGAGGGATTTTTGGATGCATGCTATACTCTGGGGGGTTGCAATTTAATTTAAACAAAAAGCAGACAGATACCTGGAGGCCATATGTAAGAGTAAAACCTGCACCATTTGTGGGAACTCATGGAGGACTCACTTAGACCCGAGGGGAAGAAAGGTCTCACAAAAGCAGTCAGTCCTGAATGGGATCTGGAGCAATGTGCTTCTGCAGTGTACATACCTTCTGATTTATGTTTGCTTTGCTTGTTGCAACAGCAACTGAAGGAGAAAGGTGAGCCTTGTCTAAGGACAGACTCCTGTCAGACACACAACTGAGCTCAGGATTCTTGGGACATCAAGAATCCTGAATTTTGTTCCTGGAATTATGACCAACTTGCTGGAATCTTAGCATTTGTCTAAGGTGAGTTATCATCAATACCATTGGGCAAATGAGCCTTACCCACAGGAGTTAACCTCCAAGGTCACTCCTTAAATAATTAGAGTTACAAACAATTTAGAAGCTAGTCTAAGGAGGCTCCCTCTAATCCAGACTCTTTCTGTTATCATTCTGTCCAAATAAACAGTTTCTACAGGTGGCCCAAGATGACTGTTCAAAGCCGAACCATCATATCCACTTTCCAGGAAACAAGAAGGGAAAGCAGAAAAAGAAAAAGTGCCCCCTTTTTAAGGACACTTCTCAGAAGTCCCATTGCATTTTATCTCATTGACTGGGTCTTAGTCATATAATAATATCTATCTGTAAAAAAGGACTTAAGATGTAATCTTAACTGGAGGTAACCACATGTATCCAGGTAAAAATGAAGATTTGTGTTACTGACAAAGGATAAAATGCCAGGGCACAGCTATCAGAGAGACTATTGTCATTGTGATACCCTGAGTTGCTAAACAAAAGGAGTCCAGAGTGTTCAGCTGTGGCTTCCCTCTAGTTCTGCAGGTCCAGTTCCCTTTTACTCAAAAATATGAGTAACTATGGTACTTAGAACGCATCACCCCAAAATTCATCTGTTGAAATCCTGTCCCCTCCATGTAGGAGATGGGAACTTCAGGAGGCTGTTGGGATTAGATGAGATGTTAAGGGTGGAGCCTTCATGAATGGGATTAGTGCCTTTGTACAAGTCATAAAAGGGCTTGCTTCTCCTCTCTGTTCTCCATCATGTAAGAATATAATGAAAAGTCAGCCGTCTGCTCTCACAGAATCCAACAATGCTGGCACCTTGGTCTTGGACTTCTAGCCTCCAAAACCATGCAAAATAAATTTCTGTTGTTTCTGTTCAGTTCATGTTATTGCACCCAGGATTGACAAAGACATTGGCTTTAGGGCTGGACACCCAGACTCCAATTCCTCAAAGCTGACTTCTGGTGTTTGTCTCTGTTAGGCACCTGCAAATGGGAGAAACTGAAACACGCTGGCATGAAGCTCAAGCCATGTGGCACCAGGGCAGTAAGAATAAACACCCTAAATAGGCCAGTGACCAAAGTCACTAGGAATAATGCACACTTTCATGAAAATATTCTTGGATATTATCTATTTTCTTCTTTTTATTTCTTTCCCTCTTCCACTTACAGAGGACTTCCCCTATTCACCTAATTACTTTTCTGTGGCCTGGTTTCAGAAGTAATAGTACTAGTAGTAGAAGTAACTATGAAGGTTTAGCAAACACTAACTATGAAGACCTTATTACACACCCCTAAAATTGCTCTTTTAGGTAGGTACTATTATTTTCCCCATTTTAGTAATCAAGACTCTGAGATGTGGGGAGATTAGATAACTCCCATAGCCAGAAACAAATCAGAACTTGACCACCAGCCACCTTATGTTACCAAAAGCTGAACTGTTCACTAAGCACTGTCCCTGCAAGATC